TCCTTATGCGAGACAGCACAAATGTAACTGACTTCAGTTCGGCTTTAATCCACATATGTTTCCCCTTAGAACCTGGATGGCTGATAGTTGGTCATCACTACAAGTTTATTTAGCTGACTCTGATAATAAAATGTGAGCACGACCATCACTGAGAAATAACTCCCGATATAATATACTTATTGAATATTTATTCCTGTCCATTACACTAAATAGTAAGTTACACATAACTTACTATTTATAAATGGAATCTTGTTGTTGTTGTTGTTGTTACACATGTCACTTTCAGACTGAAAACTGCACTACAATGAATGGCTTTGATAAATGAACACACTTTCAGGATACCTATTTTGATTTTTGCACAATTTTCCTTCACTGAGCTCCCACGGCTGCTTAGCAATCGGTAATCACAGTCAAATTGGATTTTAAAGGATTTAGAGCCTGTTATAGTCCATGGTGATTTAGAAGCCGGCCACAGAATGGGGATGACAGCTCAGTTTTGCACCAGCGAAGCAGGTCAGTCAGTGTTTGACCTAGTCATGGGCTGAGGTTTGAAAAAAAACCCCACAACTTTAAAGATGAGCCACCAGTCATTGTAAAACTGCCAGTTTCAAAGCTTTTTTTTTGAGTTACTAGTTTTATTAATTAAAGTAAATACCACCATAAGTATCATCAGTCGACTGTCTCACCTCCGTGTGAAATTTCAACTTTTCACTGATGCAAGGAAGGTAGTTTGTTTGCTCTGGTCTGTGCGGACTGCAGGTTAACAGAACTCGTACAGTCAAATTATTTCAGGTAAGGCTACAGGTGCTTACTTCCCTCTGAACAATTTTCTCTCTTTACCCTCCTTCTGAAGGAGCCTTGTGGCATAATAACCAAATGACCATTGTTCTTCTGTGCGACTTGGCAAGATTAGCTTACTCTGCAAAGATCAATGATCAAGCCTGTGTGTGGGGAGGGGAGGTGGGGCGGGGGGGGGGGTGTGAGTGGTGCGGTGGTCATCACAATCTTTTGGCTGTGCTATTGACCGCAGCGACTCATTGAACATACAGGGACATAACTGATGTTTGTTAATACACTGCATTTCGAGCAAGATTTATTTATATTTTGCTTTTGTAAAAAAGTGCCAACTAAATCAGGTGCCAAATGAGAAATGACGGTATTATTTTTCCTTGTTAATATTGTGCTGCCAAAGCAAATATGTGACTAAGTTGTCATTAACCTTGAAGCGTCAGTCTAAAACAAGAGAAGAGAGACTGCTTCCGAGCAGCTTATGATTTACATTAACCCTTTCGCCTTGACCGGGTGTTTCAACCCAAGAAGCCAAAAGCTCTTAAGGGCAATTAGGAGGGCGAGAGCTCTTCTGTTAACAGCTTAAAGGAGGAAGTGAACGAACAGCTAAGAACACGTAAAACAGCTGAATGAGAAAGCAAATAAAAACAGAAGAGGATGTCCTGCTAATTCTGGTCCTGTGAGATGAAAAAGACAATGGGCCATGTTTTGTTTCATGAACATCCTCATGCACACCACTCTGCTCAGAATCTCTTGCTTCATGTTTATTTATGTATGATGTGTCTTGTGACTTGATTTTAATTGTTCATGGCTCAGCTATAATTCTCAGTTACAAATTTTCTAAATTAATCTGATTCAAATGTCTTGTGTATAAGTTAATTTGACGTGTAACTTTGACTCTTTTCCTTCTTTTCTCCCTTGTTATGCAGTCTGGCAGCCAGATATGCAACTCAGTCCAAACACACTGGAACTGCAGCAAATCAGAAAAAGTCTACTAGGTCAGCTGGTAATTCTTATTCACTGCCTGCCAGTTGTGTGGATGACACTTTGTAATTCGGTGTGGTACATGAAAGCGATTGGGTAGAAATTCCACCTCTGGTCTAGATTGACTCAAATTAACGTATCCTTTCAGATCATTCAAAATTGGTCAGATTCTTAATCAGTCTTTAATTTCAAAGCGGGTTTTCTGTAAGTTTCTTTCAAGAACCTACAAAAAACAGGCTTTGGAGTTAAAAGGGGATTTAATTGGCCAAATTTTGCACTCTCTGAAATGCACTGCAAATAGAATAAATCTAAACCCAGGTGGAATTTTATCCCAGGTAACTTGCTTCACTGTTAGAGTAAGAAAGAAAAAGTTTTGAACCTTGCATCTAATTTTTAACAAAAAATAATAATTAATGCTTTTTGCGCAACCATTTTCCTCTCCAACAAAAGAGACTGAAGAGCTTAGGTTAGAAAATTGTAATTTAAGTACTTAAGTTATTCCCTTTGTCATCATTCTGAGTCACTGAGGATCAAATGACTAAGTACATAGTTCCTAGCACTGTTTAATAATACACAGCTAGACTATTATCTTAGAAATACAGTGCTTGGTTATTTAAATAATAAATGTAGAATTCAATAGTTTGATGGATTGAAGCATCAGATTCTAAGAGCAATTGAAGCGTTTGATTCATAGCCACGTGATATTAAAATAGCCTGAATCCTAAACCGTAACATAAAGAAAGATTAGAATTCGTTGACCCGAATCGTCTCAAAAAGCTTGATAAATTGACAGTACGATTGTCAGAGGGAAAAGAATAAAACAGATTCAACGTTGCTTTTATAAAAAAAGATTTGTTATTGGTTACTGAGTCACTGTCTGTAGCATTCCATTGAAAAGCTGTGCTTAATCATATCCTGTTGTGTATGTGTCACTCAGCACAACTCCTATACATCCCCATTCAGTTCTCCTTCATTGTGTGGAGCAGAGGAGTGAAGGTCCTCTGTGGTCTGTCAGATTAATTTAATGAAACAGATCGAATGGATTTCTACGTTTGTGTTGGTGCATACTTCTGGGAACCGGAGATTACTTGTATTCATGGTTCACTGTTGAGGTTAGCGCATGGACAGATGGTGCTGCGCAAGCGCTCTGCGTGCCTCTCAGGAGCAGCAAAGTCACAGTCCATAAACACTGAGAAGCAAATGGGAAATTGGACCTCAGTGAGTAATGACTGCACTACAACAAAATACATTTATAACTCACAGAAGAGTGGCATTAAAACGACTGCTTTGCACATTCATTTTCAGTCAACTGCTCAGATTAAAACAAACTAAAATCTGCTTTGTTTTATTTGCCGCAGCCTATTATAGAAACATTTCTTCAATAATAAAACCGTATTTTGCCAGGTGCAACCCTTGGGAACATGGAGTTGACTACACAGTATAAGGAAAGAAGCCAAACTTCAAATTCCACCTCTTTCTGCTTTGCCTTGCTGAGGTTTGCTGAGAGATACAGCATATCCTAATATGACACAATGCATATAAAATACCCACTGTGCAGTGCACCCACCTTTGTAATGTGCCATACCTTAAAGTATTCAGAAGGTGGCAGCAAGCCACTGTTTACAGCACATCCCATCAGTTGCCCCTTGCTGTTGTCTGAACTTTGTGCATTAAGTTGAATTTTATACTTTAATTTTGTACAGTTGAGAAAAATATTTTATATGGGCATTAAATTGGACGAATATATTGTGGAGAACATGGTGTGCATTCAATCTGGCCCCTTGTTCACTGGATACATAACCTGAATCATTTTATTGGAGAAAGGAAAGGACAGAAAAAGGACAAAGACGATGGAATTAACTATTGAGTAACTTTCCAATCTCCTCCTTGCTGGACAAGGAGGAAAGCAACTATAATTCTGGGATCCGGAGGTTTTAAACATCTTTTTTGCACCGAACAATGACATTCAATGATTCCCAGGTCAGATCTAGCACAGGTCAGCTACCCTGTAAATGGTACATTGCTCTTAACAAAGTGCTTAAACACCAGCTTCAGAAAAGCACCAGAATGACATTTTGATTTCCCAACCTGTCGATCAATATAAGATCAGCGAATTAGTGCTCATTGTGCTGTGGAGGGGATTCCACTGGGACATGGGTAGGGAACAGCCCCAAGACTACCCCTCCTGGGAAGCTTCACAGACGAGGAGACTTTTGCCAGACTGGTCCAAGCTGGAGCTGAACTCGGTTGTTGCTGTAACAGGACTGTATCCATCCAGCTCACTATGGAACCCTGTCTCCTTACAGCTTTTGCTGTAAGGATGCCTAAATTGTGAGATGCTACTTGCTGTCAGATAGAGGTGAGATGAGAAATGTAATGGAGTTGCTAAGATCAGGACATTTGAAACAAGCTTTATATATATCTATATATCCACATATATACATAGTGGTATGGATTTACAAACACATTGAAATGAATAGAGTCGGGGATATTTTTTCTGCGCTTAGATGCCTAGAAAGAAAGAAAAGGAAAAGTCACCGGCTTTGGAATAAGTCAGATTTGCTTTATTGGAAGGTAATGAGGATTTTTTTAAAAAAGGTACCACAGGCATTTTATTAATCAGGTTAATGTGTTCATAATAACTAATAAAAGCTGTCCTCTGACCTTCTCCAACTTTCCCTGAAATGATAAGCTTTTTGTGTGCTATTCTTTTTGTTTCTGAAATATTACAAGATGTGTAAATAAATCACTTAAAGTGGAGAAATTCCAAATCTGCAGCTTTTAGCTGAAAAAAGCAAAACCCGTACTTGTGATTGTTTAAGAATTAAATTCTATTACAAGGCTCCTCAAACCGTGTATCTATCTGTGGTAAGAGTCACATTTGAACCGGACCTTGTTAGATTAGATTATACAAACAATTCCATTTGAAGTGTCGATGCACCTCGCATAATCTTGATCGGAAAATGTGGACGACACAAGGCAAATATTGACCGTACAGAGAAAAGCTTTCAAAAGCTTATATTGATATAGTTGGGTAAGAAAGTTTCCATGAACTTCAAAAAGCTGATATGAGCTTAGAACAGACACTGGCAGCAGTGGAGTTGGAAACTGTAACTAGCATTAATGATTAAGTGTAACAAGACTGTCCAGTGAGGGGAGGAAAGAACAATTCTACAGCCCCCCACCCCCATTCTAACAATCTGACTTTACAGTTTGCTCTTGCCTCTCTCTGCTGTGTACAATTACTGTGGAAGACTCAAGCTTCCATTGCTTTGCAGGCTTCCTGGACCCTCTAGGGTGTCAGCTGCAGGCAGCAGTACCAAGGTCCAAACAACCACCAACCTGAACAGAAGAAGTCAAAGTTTTAACAGCATTGACAAGAACAAACCTCCGCAGTATGTAATCAGCAACGAAAAAGGTAAAGTCTTTTGTATATTTTCTTTACCCCTTGTGTGCTAAATATTTTCTGATCATGCAGCAAATGTGCATCTGTGCTAATGTATCATTTATAACCCATGGGTCTCTTAAGATGTCAGAAGCCATGAACAAAACAATACTGTTTAAACGCCACAGAAATGATTTTCAAGATTGTGGTTCTCCCCATTCACAGTGCGTGCAAGTGTTGCTGTTATTGTACAACTCACTCATACACACTATGAATGTAGCCATGGATCCAACTATACCTTACTTTTCACTCTGCTTTACCATAAAACGACACAGTATATTGCGCAATGTGGTTGCCCATGTATATTATTCATGCAAACATGACACAAGGCCCCCCTCTATAACAACTCACCCGTAAACCAAAAGATTGTTGGTTCAAGCCCCGTGTAAGGACTTCGAACTCACAGACTAGGCTAACACTCCAGCACAATACTGGGGGCTGCTGCATTTTCAGAGGTTCCATCCTTCAGTTAAGACATTAAACCAAGGTCAAAAATTGGAGTATGTAGATACAAACTGAGTCTTGTTGCCCACAGTTTTGCATTTAGAAACCAAACCTACCTCAAAGTAGAGCCCTTTCCTCCAGATCACTTGCATGTTTATTCAGGCAGGTTTTCTGTTTAATAGTAAATACTCTTATTGCGACCTGCAACCTCCAAGCATAATTGATGACTCTTCAAACAACATGAAAGATTTACTGTTTTCATTCATGATGATTTACAGCATGAGAGAAAAATGTGCAAATGCCTTTCATTATTGGCGTTCTTTAAACCTGCTCAACTGTGCTGATGGCTTTTAGTATTGGACATACATTTAATTCAGCTCAATGTCTACTCAAGAGACCATTTCGAAGCTGAACTGCAAAGCCAAATCGAGATGGCAGCACATTCTATACATCAACAGTAATGGCACCGGAAACTTGGCAAGACTGAATGTGATTGAAAAGCAGATTTAGACCAGAGCACATTCTAACACTGTTTCTAATACAGAATGTGTAGGTGCCAATCTCAACAATGAGGCCACTTTTTTAAAAAAAGAAAAATACCCATTTGAAAGAACATCGATTAACTTCAATGAACTTTTACCTTCTTGTTTTATAAAAGAAAACATACTTTTGTAGAAACACTGATATCATTCAGGGGAAAATAGAGATGCCTAATCTGGAAGTTCTTTAAACAGAGGAGTTTAACTAGAAGGTTACCAGTTATGGGCAGAGTTCCAAAGCACCATTTCCATTTGCTAATGTTGAGATAATCAATTACTGCTGATGAACCGCGAGTGCAGAGTAACTAATATTTAGAAGAGACATTTGGCGTCTAAACCTTCGAATCCCATTTCTACCACATTGGAGACGGGGCAATCTAAGCATAGTTATTGCCACATTTGGTATGTGCTTATCAGGATTCAATTATATGCATATGTAACCCTTAGACAATCAAATGTCTATACCAAAGCCAAGGTCAGCCCACAGTGCAATGTTGAACAGCTAGAAACAATTGCAGTGAGGGTGGGTTGGGAATGCAACTATGAAGCTAACGGTCCAAGTTTATGCTTAAATATCTGAAACCCTACCAGATTTCACCTCTCTTAAAACAGTCCCAGAACCACCATACTTAATGTGTTAGCGAGATTCCTGTGAGCCTTGCTTTCAAGACTGATGTTACAATCAGTCTAATAGCAAAACACAAATTACCACCGAAAGGCAGAGACCACAGCACAGCACAAATTGTACATGCTTATTCGACAGCTTTAGTGGGAAACAGTTCTGCAAGTCCTTTTATCCTTTCACTCTCTATATGTGTAATTATGTATTTGGCAGCTTTTACTCACTTGACATTGCAACCCTTTAGTTCTGCTTTACAAACGCTGCAAAGTCTCAGCAGCGTTTTAGACAGTTAAATAGGGTGGTTATTGTTTTTTGCCGTCCTGATGTGAGATGAATTGAGTTCTACAAATTCCCAGCAACTGGGTTTAGGAGTAAACTAGGACATTCTCCTTTCATTTCTGGGACACATCTCCTCACTCGGCTGGATGTAAAGATCTAAGAAGCCTCAACCCAGAGCTGAAGTGACGGGTCCTTAGTAAAACAAAAGGTGCTGCTCAGAAAGCCTGCAGATCCTAGAAATCCGGCCCAAAAGTGGGAAATGTCAGCAATGCGTAGCACTTTGTCTGAAAGATTACGAGTCAAAATTATTGCATGTGATATTATCGTTGGTGATAACATTATATGCCACAGTTTTGATATCACTTGTGATACCATTGGAAATAAGCATTATATTGATGTCGTTAAAAAACACATTCTGCTATTGTGGTGAGCCTTAGAGATGAATCCCACCCCATCGTGGGGTCACTGATAACTTCAATATCGATCTCTTTGGACCACAATGTTCATTGCTGCGATAATTATCACCAGCGATAGTATCACAAGCTGACGTTTTGCCCCTCTTGGGTTTTGAAGTTTTGAGTTCACGATTCAACATTCATTCAGCAGTCTTACTCAGAGAACCACAAGGAGGGACAGTGTGTCATCAACATGTCACACTGCTGCTGTAGGTCTCACAAATACAAAGCGTTTCAGCAAAGGTGTATTGTCACAGTAACTAACCCGGGAATACTTGATGCTGACACTCGGTCCCTTGCCTTGATGAAAAATCAACTCAAGATGTGAAAGAAAACAAAAAAAACTGTATGAAAACGTTGAAATTCCCAGGGAACATTGATCCTGGGAATTAATGTTACCACCGACTAAGTATCCAACAGATATGAAAGTCCAGATGGATGTGATGAGATTGTAATGACAGTACAGTGCTTAGAGAGTCTAAAATGATGTTTAAGTTTGGCAGTAATTGAATAAAGGATCTGAGAATGTTGGCTGGATACATGTTCTGTTCTCACAGTATTCAACCAGAGGAAACCTGACCTTGATGGACACCGCACTCCCATTCAGTGATAAATGCTTATATTAACTGCCCCCTGGGCACACTAAATAAATATTTGGATTTGCAGCAAGACCCCCAGATGAATGTTAAGCAATCGTTATTGTGTGTTATGTGGCGTTCAGAATCACAGTATATGTGAATAGTCATTCATCAAAGTGCTGTTACACTTCTGGCTTTTCAGTTAAGCATTTATATCACAGTGTTTTGCACACGGCAGCTTTCTCTCTTGTTTCTTGAAGGATGTGAAAATCCCAACCACCAGCCATTATAAAACAGCTGATGTTTTGTCATTCAATGTTTTTTTGCTTGTCCCTGACATCTGTGTAAAAAGAAACAATGTTTAAAAGAGTTGGGAAAGATGATGAATTGTTTGCTCATAACTTGTGCGGTGTTATTAAATCATTTTAACTTCAGCAGAAAGGCTGACAGACACTTGTCCTTTCAAAAGTGACACAAGCCTTCCTGGAAGGTGTCGCTTCCGTCTGTCACACAAACAATTCACAACTTCTTGCTTCCCCTTACGTTTTCATACTTACAGTGCACACATGCAGGCATATTTACTGGAATTGCTAAGCCCAGTCCACACAAATGTAGTTGAGGAGTCTTAGCATGAAAATTACAAACAGTAAGCAATTTATCCAGGAGGAAACGTATTGTACCTTTTAAACCAATTTAAAGCCAGACTATTCTGAAATGCAGCATTCAATACAGATTTGAATGCTCTGATTCTACCTTACCGTTGTTTCTTCACTCTCACACGACAGTAAGAGCCAGTGAAGGGTTGCCAGCTCTCATGTTGCTGCCCAGTGGAAGCAGAATACCAACAATCCTGCCTTATGCTAACTAAACAACCTAACGGAGAGAAAAAAGTTACTTGCTGTTACCCATTGACAATATCCAGCTTTTCCGCTTCGGTTAACTCTTTGGTAATTATATAAATAAATTTTTTACACTGGAATTGGTCTGTGGACAGTGCTGTTAGAACATCTTCTCCTTTTGTGGTTCTGAGTAAGCACTGCCAATGACTGTTGCATTGTGAACTCTAAAGACGTGTCATACTCCAAACATCCAGTCAACGGGGGTCCAAACTGCAGTTTGTGATATTATCACTGAAAAGTACACAAAGCATCCTAGAATGAAATTTGAAAGAAGTGCTTTTTGACTTTGATGAAGAACTGAAAGAATGCAATCCAGTTATTTCAACAAGTGTAAACCAGAGGAAAAAGTAGAAAAAAAAATCTCTTAAACCTTTGGCTTCAAAATACAATGATGTTGATGGTTAACAATAGCTTGCAGATAGTTCTAAATGAGTGAACAGCCAATTGCTTTCATTGAACCATAGATGGATACGTTTTGGAACCACAAGACATAATGCCTCACTTTACTCTCTATTTACTGCATTTAACTGCAGAGTGGATGATTATTTTTGCAGCGTTCAGCTGCTGCGAAACCGATGCCGACAGTTCAGTTCCTTGTTTGTTTCTTTCCAGAAGTAGCATCAGGTGAGGAGTAAAGAGCAGCCATTAGGAACAGGAACTGTGGCTGATTGAACAGGGTCCGCAGTGTGCAAGCCTGACCAGCTGTGTGGCATGACGCCAGAGTGCAAAATGAAATGATGTTGAATATCGTGAGCAGTTTGACGGAAAGCTGAGGTTTTTTTTTGTTACACTGCTGCAGGATGTAGTTGTAAATTAATTGTTTTCCTCTGTGTAATGTCCGTCTGATGAGGGACTACAGCTGGTATGTCAAAGGGGAAAACCCAGCATAATTTTGAGAAAGCCTCGGTTAAATAATAGTAATAATAACCCTTGCATTTGATGTTAGTACCTTTCGAGTCAGGAAGACATCTCAAAGTGCTTCACAGGGTATTCTGTAAAGTGTAGTGACTGTGCATTTTATAGATGAAAATGGAAAAGTAACACTGAATTCTCCCCACTTTAAATGCTGGATTTACATCTTCAAGACTGAGGTGGATAGCTATTTATCAGATCAGGGTATTGAGGGATATAGGCAAGGGTGGGCGATTAGACTTGAG